TTAATGAAGGCCGCCTGTTGCTCCAGTTTGTCATTGTTAAAGAACACCAGAACATTTTCCATCATCCTCGTTTCCCCACTCTGGTGCACTGAACGAGGCAGCAGTGCCCTCTAGTGTATTAGTTAACGCTCTTCAATCAGTGAGATAAATGTTTCATCATCTCCATCTCCCGTTCACAGTGCCAGACACAAACAAATCACTGCGCTGCTCGTTACTGTGAATTGTTTTGTATTTGATGCTGATTAACGGTACACATTTCTGTGTATTTCTTTCTCACTTCTTTGTCGTACGAGATTAAAAACAAAAGATACAACTCCGAGCGATTTCAAAATGTGCTTTAATTGAGCAAAACATATTTATAATAGTGCAATCATTGTGTAATCAGTGTATTCTTCAACAGTTTCTTTATCACAGTATTAGAAGGCACTGAAAGTGGGTGAGCGGGTGGAAACGTGTTGTGTGTACGAGAAACTGCGCTGCAGAATGTGTAAACATGCACAGCGCTGTCAAATGCCTAATTAGACCTCCTGTGTGTGTGCAAGCATGCGCTTGATTGACATCTCCTTCACAATTCTGTTGGTTTAGTTGTCTGTTAAGGCGGGACAATGTAATCCCTTATCATTCATATCGAGAGGGGAAGATATTTTTTGGTATCATTTCAATTGTGCCATGAATCACACATGACTTTTGTAAATTAAAAAGATAATTTTGCAAGTCAAGAAAGCAACATTTAGTTTTGCGTGAAACCGCTCCGTGAACATCATCTTTCGGCTCGCACAATGTACGTCACCAACATGGCCGTTCCTTTGGCGTGCCAGCTAGATAACTTAGCTATGTTCTATGCACAGATGTAACGTTATCTTACCCGATATGTGTTTTATACAGAGACTCCTTTTGTCAGCGAGGAATCGAAAGAACGAGCGAGACCCGTCGTTGGTGCGAGTACATCGTACCAAACACACAGGCATCGTAGCTTCAGAGAGCGAACAGTTTTACGACAAAATAGGACTTTTTTTACGTGCAAAATTATATTTTAAATTGACTAACATCATATGTGTAATTTATGGCACAATTCAAACAGGATCAAAAAAGATATTTGTCTCTCGCCTTCGACTATTGTTAATAATTTCTCCAAAATAAGGTCCCATGGCGGAGGACCCCGTAAAGGGCGGGACTTCGTCTCTCTATCGGCACATAGTTTGTTTTCGTGATGTAATTCCCACCAAGCTTCAGACTGAGCAGATGTCTAATCAGCCAGAGTGATTGAAAACAGCTGTGTGGGTGTGCAGTTACACTCAGTTACACTTAATATCACGCTTCATTTTATCCGAAAATATGATCGGAATTATTATTGTTCTGTACCGACAATAAATCCAGCAAAGACTCACTCTGACTCTTTTCTTTTTTCATGTGAAGAGACGTCAGCTGTTGGAAAAGTTAATCAGTTATTGCTTACAAATACGTGCGACTCCTGGCTCTGTGTAAATGAGTTTGGCACAGCAAAGTGGCAAATTTCACGGCTCGCTCTTCTCACAGGGCTGCTTCTTCAGCGTCTTAACGGCCTCATTTTTTTCTGCTATCCAACCTCGGCGTAGGAAATGAAAACATCTTTAGCGCCTTTGCTAAATCCCGCCGCAGAGCCGTGAAGAAACGGAGCGGTGCCTCTCAATGTCTCACCCTCTGTGGGCAGAAAGAGTGCCAACAAATGGTTTGAAGGAGTGGTTTATGAATGACAAACACAAATGGAGTGTGTTTTAAATATGAAATAAAAGAGTTAGGGTTGGATGCTTTTGTACAATACTTCTCCCTCTTTCTGTACGACTTACCTCCGTAATAGTAGAGCATTGCAACACCAAGCGCGAAACTAAAACAGCTCAGGAAGAACATCGATCCTGCAGGAGGGAAGAGAAGATAAGATGTTTTCATGAGTGACCAATGACGCCTAGAAACAGGAGTATCCGATCAGCATACTAAATGTGCTTAGTGGGATGGGTCTTCTGAATAAATGATCTGAACTTAAATAAATAAAAACAAACTGAAATGTACACTAACATATGGAGAGAGTCAAGAGTTCGAAGCCGCTCTTGTTGTTCACAGTCTGAACAAGGAGTGATGTGTACGACTTGTGATCGGGAGTCATCGTCGATGAACCCGTTTCCCCGCTGGCACACCTTTGACCCCGCGGATGAGCCTCTGACTGTTCAAAGGAATGCAGGACAGAGGAGGCCGTTCGGGTTTACACACAAGTGTAAACTGACCCGCAAAGCCAGAGCCCTGGATGTAATGGGATGATGAATGGCGAGGCGGTGCGGAGCAGCAGGGCCCACATTCTGATGCTCGGGGTTAAAAGGGTTCAGCACACAACTATGTTTGTGGAAGAACAAAGCTTAATTGGGCTTAAGGGGCTTATGTGGGGATCAGCGAGGGGTCCAGAGGCACACAAACTGTAAGACCACCATATTGAAAAAGAAAACACACCTGAGTAGTCATGCTGCCAAATTACACTTCTACAACAGCAGAGTAAAGAGCGAAAGCTTTCCAGCCCATTAACTACAAATCATTATTACATCACACGTCCGCACACAATTTCACAACGTTTTTGAGAATGACTTCCTCCTGTCCAGGCAGCCAAAGGTCTCAGTTGATGCCAGTATGGGATTAGAAGTCCATTTGTAAAGACTAGACACCTTCGTTGAACAGGTAATCCAGCACAATGCCCAATGACTTTTAAAAAGGAAGTAGTGAAACATACATAGTTATTCAAGGGCAATATATGCATGAGGGTGTGTTTACTGTCTGCTAAGACGAGACACCTCAGTCAAAAACATTGTTTTTAAGAACTGATACATTTTGAATTTTTGGGCTATTTTGCTTCCATAACACGTCTTCTTTCATACTAGTGAAAATAAAAACATCCAAAACACACATTTAGGTGTTTATTTTACTACTTTGTGTATTTGCGTTTGTAGATTTCTCCTAAATTCACCAAAAGTTAGTGATGCCTCATTTGCATATTTAAAACAAAACCTTTTAGAAAACTTGTAATACAAAAAATATTTGTCATAATGTAAGTAATTAGTTAGTTACATTTTTTTTTACCCTATTCACCTGTAGTGTCGTCAAAATGTAACTTTAGAAATCTTTAAAGGCTGTTTTCTCTATACGAGTTTTTCTCAGACTCTGAACCAGAAATCTCCACTTCACTAGCTCTTACATACACCAAACATTCCAGTACCATCTATAATCTGATTTATACATTTTATTCCTAAAACATGGAGAAAGTGATTTTTTATGAGCAGTATCTTCTGATTCATTGAGTGGTACAAAGAGAGATACAAAGATTCCCTCGGTGGAAACCTTTGACCCAAATATGTCAACAAACTGAAACAAGAATGTTGAACCTGGCTTTATCCAACTTTCAGATTTCTGTTCTGGAAATATATGCAAATCAGCACATATTTGATAAGAGCATGCCTCATTTGCATATTTTAAAATTACATTTCAGAAAGCTTCCAATACAAAAAATAATTGCTTTATTGTAAGTAATCAACTGGGGAGGTTTCATGGAGATACCTATCAGTTCAATATTTTACCCTATTCTCTTATAACTTATAGAAACTGACTGTCAGTCAAGTGTATATAAAATTAATCATGGACACAATGCTTTGTTGAACGCACCAGAGAGGAAGTGTTTTCATATTAGTTCCTGCATACAACTTCTCTACACGAGGTTAATATAACATTGTTTATGTCGTTGACAGTCATGTAGACTATACATGTACATATTTGGCCATAACGTGAACACTGGTGTATAGTCTTTTAAGATGCATCAAGAACAGAACGCTCATATAACACTCTACTGCACTGAGTCGATTAAATGTACCTCTGTTGTTCAGCACGTATCGCTGCGGGTGGATTGCCACAGCGTTGGTCCACTTTGGATCGGCCACTTCTAGAACAGAAAGCAAAGACGGTTAACGGGTAAACCCCACGCTTTAAATACCAGCCTGTGTAGTGTCACATCCACACTTTGGGAGTGCAGTCCAGACAGCACATTGGCTTCCTTGTGAGTCTTGGATAGGATATAGAATAAGCCTACAAAAGGCCAGACAGGGCAATTACACAGCAGGGGATCCGCCATCATGGGACAACCGGGGACGTTGCTCGTGAGACCAAACCATCTCACTTTAAAACACATGTTGCACCTATGGGAAACATTCTAATATGACATTACAACGAGTGTAAGAAGAGAGGAGCTTTTCAGGATTAATGGGTCAGTGTAATTAACTTTAGTAATATTATGCACAGGAATTTCAGAAAAGGATGAACAGAATCTGAATCCCAGAAGATCGCGTGTTTGAACACTGGTACATGAATATGCTGCGTAGATTAACACTTACTTACGTTTAGACCGATTTTATATTGTCACGGTAGTCTGTGACTCGCCTGTAAACCTAATGTTATATCCACACTAAACTACTGCACAAGATACTTCTGCCTCTTAAAAACACATTCAGGTGTGAGGGACATGTTTGAGAAGGGAGGGTCTCATTACAACTCTTCCCATACTGGCACCTTGGCTCCCCACTTGTGAATTCAAACAAATGAGTATCAGTTATGGGGATCTATTGGGAGAAATGGAATAAAATATGAATACGTTTGTTTTCTTTACTGTACAAACACCTGAATGTAAGAATTGTTGTGCTTTCGTTACCTGAAAATGAGACGTTTACATCTACATACAGAGTCCCGCTCACGGAGTCAGATGCCAATGTTTCTACAGTCGCCTCAAACAGACAAACTAAATACTGGCTCCAAATTGGGCCTTTTGCGTTTCACATTTTCACGTCGGCCACCGTGGTTGTCCTACGCGTTTGACCCACTGGAGAAGTTACAGTTGGTTGCAATCTGCAACCTCACCTCTAGACGGCGCCAAATCCTACACACAGCACAATTAATATACAGTAACAACGTTAACAAAGTTTGCTTGACCCTCCCTCCTTTTTTGGGGTTTTTAAACTACATCATCACACTTCCGGAGCATTTTCTCTGAGCGTCTAATAATGACGCGGATGGGTTTACGTTGCAGTGACTTGAAAGCCCGGTGCGCTTTACTCAGATGCTAAAGAGTTTGTTGGTATCAAACGCAGAGGGGCGTGACAAAGCGTAGATATTTGACACCTTTTGGAATGAAAACGGGCCTGTACCTCTTTGTATAACTCTGGATGGAAGGCTGGCGTAGACGTTCTCAGCGAGGATGTGGAGTCCTCTGTAGAATTCATGACACGCCTCCTCGCCCTTCCCACGCAGGTACGTCAACAGCTCAGCTAACCTCACCTTGGTGGGCACGCTCAGGTCCCTGAACTGCAGGGAGACACATGCTGAATTAAATCACTGAAACACACCCGTTTACCTGAAACACTCTTCTTCTGTTCCAAGATCAATTTCAGATCAGCAGATTCAAGTCTAAAGCCACTGTGATGAAACAAAAAGATCATTATAAGTCACGATAATGAGAAACGACAAAAAAGAGATAGCTTTTTTCATCACAGTGACGTTAATTGGCTTTCAGAAGGACATGATCATTTTCAAAACAGGATGTTTTTGTTTTGTGAACGGTGTTAAATGTTATCTGCAGTGACCCTGTGGGCTTCCTTGTCGCTGAGTATCTGGGGGTAGATCCTGTTCAGCTGCAGCACCAGTCTGTCAACCAGTTCATTGTCCATCCTCGGATCTGAGCAAAGGAACTGGGCGTCCCTCTGGAGCCGCTCATGGTAATCGTCGATGTCTAGTCGAGATCGATAGAAATGACAACATTAAAGAAGAGATGAGCAGGAGGCGGTGTTAAATAAAATGCTCTCTAACAGATACACTTTAATTCATGTTCATGAAGGCATCAGAAACAGTTTCCGTCCTGACTTCACCCATTGGTTTGTAGAGTACGGTTTTGAAGCCTTGCTTTCTGCATATTTAGCCGTCGCCATCTTGTGTTTTTGCAACCAGAAGTGGACACGGAAGGGTGGAGAGATAAGTACAACCGAACACTGAATATGTGTAACTTTCATGTAGTGAAAACACACTCTGAAAGGGTTAAGGTCGTAGGAGGAGAACACGGATAACTCCCAGACCAGACAACGGCGTGGTATCAACCTGTCAATCACTGTGTAGCCCCACCCTAAAGCATACCCTGCTTTATGGTCTGTTTGACTCTAAATGGACCATAATGTACTAAATGAACATCATGCTGTATTGAAGAAGACTTGAAACTAGAGATTGAGACCATAAACTCATGTTTACAATGTTTACTGAGGTAATAAATCAAGAGAGAAGTAGAGTCATTTTCTCATAGACTTCTATACAATCAGAGGAGTCGCCCCCTGATGGACACTAGAGAGAATGCAGCTTTAATTTACTTCTACATTGGCTTCACTTTTGTTGACTACGTCCACTTATTACAGTCTGTGGTTCTCACCTGTAAAATTAGAGCATGCTACAAAAATCTTACTTACGGCCTGCAGATTTTACGTCTAGCCTTAGCCTAAGTAGATTCTTAGTAAGCTGGTCTTGGCCTCAGTCCTGTTCTGAAAATAAATGACTAAGAGGTTTATTCTCCTGTTTAGAAAGGTGAATGCAGGGGCTGTAAAATTGGCACCGGTATGAACAACATGTAGTAAACACCAGTTTGGTGAAGCCCATGTTCTTCGATGGCGGTTAAAGGTATAAAGGATGCATTTTGTAAACGTCTTTGAAGGATACAGACTCTGATTTCGCCAACAAATCCCACAAACTCACTGTTGCTGTCGTCCCCAGCTTATTAGGTCTTCAGCATGGAGGTGTGAAGGAAGACTGTAAAAAGGGTGGAGGCCAATCTCCTTATAAGTGCCCCTTAATACGTCTTGGTGAGGGATTTACTGGAGGGCATCATTGATCTTTGCATGTTCTGTGTTGGACATCCGTCATTAAGACTTGTGAAGAATTTCCACATTACACTGATCTTAGTAGAGATGCAGCAAACAGATTAAGCCGTTTTAACATTTATCATTAAGTTAAACTCTAAGGTATAGCTTTACTTTTTCTTTATTCTGGCAAATCTTTAAACATGTGAGGAAGAATATCCTGATTCCTGCTACAAACAAACGAGACTAAAGGAAACCGTCTCATCCTCATGTCAGATTTAAGCTCATCAATAGTTCTTTAAGATAGAAATTCTTCTTAGATTTCAGATTTGGATGTGATTGATGGAGGAGCTTCATCATGCATGTTAAATTGCATCGTGTAAATAGACCCGTCTGTCTAACTGCTCATATGTATTTATAAAACAGTGGATATCTGGACAGAAAATAGCAGTAAAACTTCGTCACATGAGGCCAAAATGAATCTTGGCCAATTTGATAACACGTTGCTGCAACAGCTAAACTTACAACTTCCATGCAACAAGTGGCGCACCCACGCAGCGCAGCGGGCGGGCAGCGATCGTTTGGAGGCGGAAGTCCTTTCATTTCTAATCCCAAACGAGCCAAAAACACCTTACCCGTGATTCACAAACCTGTCATACTGACAAACAGACGCTCCCTCCGACCGAGAGCCTCCCGGTGAAACTTCCTGCTTCTCCCCCTGGTGCGACGGTCGCTGCTGTCCGGTTACATCAGCACGCTGCGCCGCTCTGCGCCGCCCCGCTGCGCCTGGAGCCACATGACTGACCTCAGGGCCACGCGGTGATTATCAATCCGCAGACAGCGACGGTAGACTGAGCCGATTACCAGCAGATACACTTTCAGTTGCAAACACGGAACCGCAGAGGTGTCAATCATCACTTTATTGTATTCCCTTTTCCCCTTTATTCTATTAGACCTAGACATTATTTGTATTTGTATATAATAATAAATGTTATTATATAATAATAATAATCTTGTCAGTAATATATTCTCCACCATGTCACTTGAAATGCCTGTGTGTGCACTACATCATCACACATACGTCACATATCACTGTATCTGCTGCAAACATTTGCATTGGTCCTTCAGAGGGAAATGTACACCATTGCACTCCTTCCACTGCGATACAGTCTCACACGTTATCAGTAGAAGTCTTTATTTATTTATTTACATTCTTTAAAAAAGAATTATATTTACATACTACCGGCTGGTGCTTTCCAGCTGCTCCCCTCAACCAACAAAGTGGACTTTCCAGCAATGAGAACTGAGTTTCTCAGACAACTTTCTCAACTGCTAACAACGTGCGTCCCATTAAACACCTGAATCGTTAACTTTAACCAAAACATAACCATTTAATGGGTTTCTGAAAAGCTCGATTGAGGGCATGGAGGTCCCTGGACCTTCTGTATGTACAGGTAGTATCATCTAACAAGGCCGGTGTACTGAAAGTGCAATGGCTCCCCTTTTCAGACAGAGGGCAGTGTGCCATTACAGTTTACAAAAGGCACATACATCTGTCTCATCAGTATGCCTGTAGAGCCTTCACACTGTGCAGAGCTGCAGATTTTATCATTTCAACATTAGGAATGCTCTGTTACGTCTTCCCGTAGTCCTCAACGTACAGACCGATATATTTTGTCAGTAAACAAGTTCTTGACTGATGTTTTTTCGCCTCCTGTGTAATGTGTCCTCACACTGATATAATCCGAATGGAGAATTCTTTGGCAGGCTTCACATTCCTCGCGCTGGACTCATCTGTGGTTGATGGGATCCTTCCCGACAAGCCGCTCTGCTGTCCCCCATACTGCCACACCAACCCGGGCCCCGCTGCCGAGACCTGGACTGGGCCTGGGTTCGTAGTTTGACGGGACAGAGGACGTCCGTTGTATTCAGGCGGACCAGAGATCTGTGCAGATCCTGGGCCTCTGGGTAGGAGAGGCTGGTCGTAGCCATAGCCGGGGAGAGTAGAAAGCGGAGGAGTGGGGCCATATGTGCAGGCAGGACCATACGCGTACTGCTGATGACATCTGTGGAGGTTAAGACAGGAAGCTGTTTTTTGTCTTATTCACCCCCCCCTCCTTTTTTGACAGTTTAGGTAAAAGTCAGCCCACATCTCACCTGCAGGCTCGCATGTTGTCACACATGTCCGGGTTCCTGGTGTCCCACAGGGACTGCACTTTGTCCTGGGTGTTGTTGTTGTTGTTCCTGCCTTTATGGCTGTAGCGAGACCTGCTGTCCCCCTGATGCTGGGCCTGCTCCTCCCACTGCCACATCTCTGACTCCCTGTTTAAAATATACATTTAAATCTGCACGTCAGTGTTACACTTTGTAAATGCATCGCAGGAATCTGACCGATAACTCTCTCGTCTTTGTTCTTCTCCATTCTTTGCTTCTTTGCTTCAAGTGATGGAAAGTAAGTACATTAACTCAAGTAAATAAAACTATGAGGTATTTGTGCTTGACTTGAGTATTTCCATTTTATGGTACTTAATACTTCACTCCATTTCGTAGCGGAATGTTGTAGTTTTTACTACACTAACAGCTTTAAGTTATCAGTTACTTTACTTTCAGTGCATTTTACTGATAATACGTATGTACTTTAACATATACATACTATCTGAAATACTTTGTTTTACCTCCAGTAGCTATGGAACTGTTAGTCCCTGTTATGTTTGTCTCATGCACAAGGATGCACATTCATGCAAGCAGGTGAAGCGGTAGTCAGTCCTGCCAATTGTTTCACACTATTTAACTAATTGGAGGCTGCTACCTCCAGTTCTGAAAAGTGAAGCCAATGCTGAAGTGCCCTAAACTTCTTCAAATAGCCATCAGAGGGCGACTCCTCTCCTTTGAGAAAGAAGTCAGATTGTATAGAAGTCTATGAGAAAATGACTCTACTTCTCTCTTGATTTAGCTCCACCCACTCCACAAACCAATGGGTCACGTCACGGTGACCACGTACAGTATATACGGTCGATCCACAGGTGGCAGAAACACACCGTGGAAGAAGACTGCAAGCTCGTAAACACCATTGGCTTTCAAGTATTAAAAAAAAAACAGCTTTGCAAATGTTTTAAGAAGGAAATGCTTTCAACCCATTTGTTAGAGCTCCAGGGTGCTCAAAATGCATCTTGGTGAGTACCAGTGACTGTAAACATAACATTCGTTTCTCCACAGGGCACCTCTAATGATTTTAAGGGAAGGACTTTTACTTGCAACAGAGTATTTTTACGTTGTGGTATCAGTACTTTTAAGTCACCTCTCATGGTTTTTCCTTTTGTCCTCTTTCATGCAGTCGAGCAAACAGCAGGTGATGAAGGCCACGGACATGAAGAAAATTATGGCCAAGCTTACGATGGACGCCAGCACGGCCACGCGGAAACCATGGTCGTCAAAGGGAGACACAGCTGGAGTGAGAGAAGAAGAAGACTGTTGACTGATCTATCGATTTTATTTCCTTGCCATACAACACAGTTATTTGACAGCTCTATTTACCGTGCTGCAAAATCTATGTACAACAATTCCTTATCAGACTCTGCCACCTTAGGCTTTACAGACATAAGTCACAGGCTGCTATATATATATATACTGTATATATATATAAACGGAAGGGGAAACAAAACATAAATTCCGTTTTTTAATTTCTCTCAGTCTCACAGCAGACAGCGCCTTCTCTCCCATGATGATTGATCCTGAAACATAATTAGGCTCTTGCTCTCACTTTTCCCACTCGCTCTTCAAAAGAGCGGCTAACTCTGCACCTGCTGGAAATGATTCCTCTCTATCTCCATTTGCATTAATATTCTCCTTTAATGAGCTTCATCCCCGAGTGAGAAATAATTTTTGCTCGAATGTGTCCTCACATAATTCAGAAGAATTAATTATCACAAGTTGAATCCTAGCTTAAGTGTATTCGCATAACATTGCCCATACCAACTATACTGCCCATCTCATAATGTTTAGTGTATAACCCATCTCTTCAGAATAATGAGCGGACAGACAGCTCAGGGGGAGGTTTTGCAGCCACTGCAATTCCCCCAGTAAAAGCTTTTGGAACATTTAATCTGCCCGCACACATTTCGTCTATAAAGTGTATGAGAGACTTTTTTTTTTTACTATATTGACAACAGAAGGGGTTTGTTGCTACTCACGTTTACAGTAGGTATCCCCCACCCAGTGGGGGCTGTTGGTGTCCATGACACACATCAGCTCCCTTCCCACCAGCTTGTGTTTGGCTGGGCACTGCAGGGAAATGACTGTGCCCACGGTGGTGCCATTGCCCTGGATGATCCTCTGGGTGCCCAGGGCTGGCAGGGGCCTGGCTGTGCACTGAGCCTGGGTCTGACCTGTGAGAGAGAGAGAGAGAGAGAGGTCAGTCGGCGATGAATCGGACTGTGTGCATGAATAAACATTGGGTGTGTTGCAGATGTTAAGACGCTCGCTAATCATCAAAAGTTCAGCCAAAGTTTGAACACATGTATAATTCATGTATCTCCAAAAGAAAATTTGTTTTTTTACAGAGACGATCAGGATTCAAAAGCAGCACAAGAAGAGTTCAGGGTGAAGAGAGAACAACAAAGAAGAATGGAGCTCTGCAGAAGAGATTCAGTGTGGGATGAGCTATCAGCACTGCACAGAACCCCTGTAGGGCGGCAAAGTGATGCATGATAAAACACTGCCTCCCCACCCCACCTCCTGTAACAGCTGCTGTCCTGCATCGAACTCTAACAGTATCGAAGCAGGAAATGTGATAAATCATGAAACAATCTGGAGCCGTGCTAAACAACCGGCTATCATACAGCACAGCACTCAGTATATTACAGGAGGGGAGGTTTCTCTCTGTGTCAGGACGTCTGGCGGGAAGAACCTACAACATGGGAGCATCACTTCATCATGACACAAGCTGCTGGAATTCAAATAAACACGATGACATCATGTCGGTGATTTCCAACAGGGCCGGGAAGGATAAGCCCAGGACAAGTCCAAACCAGCTGTTTACTGGGAGAAAAATCTGCTTCTGGCTTTTACTGAAAAAAAACAACAATGCACATGAGAGATTTTGGATTGTTTCTCTTTTGTGACTTTTAAATGAAGGAAAAACCTCCAAGGATGTGAGGAGAAAAAACTTGTGCTGCATTTTGATCACCACAAGGGGCGTCAAAACACAACAAAATATGTTAAGGACACCAGTGATAGGCCTTTACACTTCCACTTCAATACATAGATAAATGAATGAATTTATGAATTTATGAATAAATAAATCTGAAAGATAGGTGTGCAGGAAGTTGATGTTCATTCAAAAACGCCAGATGGCACTTATCGTGTGATGTGAAGTGTACTTATTAATGCGATTTATGTTTCTCGGAAATGATCACACACACACATTCAAACAATAAACGATACAAGCCTGCAAATTGCACTGCATTATAGCCTATATATACCCTGATAATTAATCCGAGAACAACTGTGGGGAAACTGCTGCCACTGTAAATCCCTGAAGGGATATTACACAAGAGGAAATAAAGACTTTACACACTTTAAATCTCTATACAGTTTGCAGATGAGCCCCTCACAAAATATGATTGAGTGAAATCCTTTGTGTTATTTATAGAACTGGACTAAGAGCAAAGTGCCTAAAACAATCCTCCGTCCCACACACATTCCTACACGCTTCAACTCGAGTGTGAATTCGACACCATTTGGTTGGTTATTTCTTTACCTGACTTCCTCCGGTCACGGCTGTCATCTTTGTTTGTAGAAACAGTCCCGGAAACATCTGCTATGGAAGCTGTTGCCGCTGACATGGTGGTGACAGACAGACGGCCTCCCTCTGTATCCCCTGGTCGGCTCCTTGGTTGTGCGTAAAGACTGCGCAACGGTGCTCCTCTGTGCCCGGTGCAGGGTAAACAAGTCGGGAATTCCGTGTAGCTGGAGTCGTGCGTGAGCTCCTCCGCGCGATTCTATTCGCCTATCTACCTTCCAGTGAACATGCAGCTTCTCATCCACAGAGTCCTCCCACAATGATTATTATTTTCTCTCTCTCTCACCGCAGCATGAACGTATTCTAATTCCCCGGTTCGGACAGCGCGCTGTGGCGGCCGAGCGCACGAGTGGACGACGAGAGACGAAGTGATCGGTCGAGACCCTGTCGGCCAAAGATAAAAATGACTTTGTGGATTACAGCAGGTCAGGTCAAGTTGCATAGCAGAGCTGCGCAGTGCGAGCAGGAGGACACTGACGAGTAAGCACCAAAAAAAACCGCTCTCTGTGGGCAGGATGTCGCATTTGAAACAGGATGTGGTGCTTCAGACAGGGTTGAGCATGTGATGATAAAAAACACACACTTTAGCAATTATGTAAAGTTCATCTTTAAGAGATAATGTTTGCCACTGCACAGCTTACTCCAACGTGCACATTTTTTCAGTTAATGTTGTGTGTTGAGTTCCAAATCAAAGAGATCTGGTACAGCATGTGAATCATCACTGTACTGTACTGTACAGCTTCAAAGCAGGTGATACAGGATGCTCATTTGAATAATGCTGATAAGTAAAGTCAGACTGATGAAATGACAGAAGTTTTTTTTTTTTTATAAGAGGTGTCAGAGGGAGAGACACATTTAAGTAAAATGAGCGGTTCTTGGAAGACATTTGACTATACAATGTCAAAAGTGCTGCTTCCCAGTAAGTAACCACACTTCCAGAGGTAACCATACCTCATGTCCTGTCACTTCTCTGTCTGTGTCTCACTGTGTCACAGTTGGGTTTAGGCTTGTGGTGGAGGTGATGTAAAAGACATGAATCATGAAGCTCTTTCTCTGCTCTGGTTTCATGACATGTCTCTTAATAGAATGAGTAACGGCTGGTTGCTCTATTGGGTAATGATGATACATAAATTAATCAAAAGCGTCTTTTTTATGAGGGAAATAAATACCTGTTTCTATTTTCTTACACACATGGAAACATAATAGAACACCAACAAAAAAAAGAAAGCATAAAAACTCCCAACGCTCCTGTTTTCACGTTGCAGTCTCATCTGAAAGCAGCATGTCGGCCGGTTTGTCATTGAGGATTCTGGGCATGCACGAGGCTGTTTCTGCGGTGGGTGATAAGTGTCTCTCCACATGGCGCAGCCCCGTTCACCTGAGCAAACCCCCACACAGCACCTCAAACACACAGGGAGCCGCTGTTCAGACAGCAGTTTGCCTCATCATTCATGAATAGATTAGCATAGCCGATTAAAGGTGCTCGTACTTGGGACTGAAGGATGTTAAAGCTCAAGACTTATGTTAAAAAAGATACTTATTGTGCTTTCTGTTATAGAGGAGCATTGTTCTTTAGGATACATTTATCTAGACTCGACAAGACAGGAAGCAGATGTGTTCTGGTTGCCTGCACCGACAAACGTTATACTTGTTTCCACTGAACTCCTCATCTTGATGTTACACATTAAAACAAGTCTCCTAAACGTTCAAGGCTAAAAGTTCAAGGCTGGAGTTCAGCTCCCAGTGATCCCAGATGTTTATGAATACAAGCCAGATCCCAGATCAACTTTCTGCTGAGTGTGCTCAGTAACACCACGTTCTAATCTACTAATTCAGCTCTCGAGAATATGTTTAAAGGAGGAAAAGATGGAGAAAGAGACCCAGTGGACAAGGACATTTTGAGGAATTAGTCTGCTTAAAGTGTTTGAAATTTGCGAGACGGTTGCTACAGCAACAGCTAATGTGTTCTGGCGTATACAGTCTCAGCGGGTACAGTTTGGACTCCGAGTGCCTTCCCCTTTATTCTCTGGTGTGCTCTGAAGTCTCTGCAACCAGGAGGTTTGCTAATGAAGCCCGGGACGGTCAATCGTGCCTCTTTTACTGTATTGAAAATGGATCTTATTGAGTATATTGTTTAGAAGGTGAACACTAAGAAAAAAAAGATAGGAGAAAAGCAGAAATAGGCGACGTGAGATTCACGTGAACAAAAAGAAGATGTTTTATTATTAGCCTGATCTGGCAGGAGAGGCAGAGGAAAGGTGAGAGCGGTCAGCTTCCACGTGTCCGCGCTGCCCCTGACACAGTGTGTCACAGTGGTTCTGCTGGGTGGGGGGGTACCACTCCATCACACAGGTAATTAGGTAGAGCAGGAAGGGGCCCCCATCTCACTCTGCCTCGGCCCCGTCAACAACGTGCTGCTCCAACCAGGCCACATATGGCTGGAGGTCTGGGTGGAGGAGACTGAAGGTGATCTCTCTGAAGTGCCCTTGGTTGGTTAGTTCCTAAAGTGATAAAACAAACAGTGAGATGTTGATGCACCATCCACAAGGCAATTATTTTGTTCAAAGGTTTATTCTACAGAGGGGCTGAAGATTGTTGAGTGTGTCACTTTTACAAGTACGAGTCATTATAAACCTGCAAACCGAGCTCTATTTCCAACTGAAGTTTTTCATTCTTTTAAATAAAGTGAAATACTTCCCAGAAGCCATTTAATGTTAACGCCAGATTCTCATAAGGTGTTGCAGTAATGAGTCCTAAAACCTTGAAATGAGTTAGCGTTTTTAAACTTCTGGTTTCCCTCGACTCAAAGTCAACGTTTTTCTTTAATGGGCTTTAACGTGTCTTTAAAAAAGTTGGTTGCTAACAAGTGCCTTAATGAGACTACTACACGTCATCGCGCCGAACACCGTCTGCCTTTACAGTCTCGTTGTGTGTACTCTCGCCCATACTAACGTTGGTGGTTCATTTGTGAAGATTGCCTTGTTAAACTCAAAGTGTAGGTATCATAAACGTTCCAATGAAAATAAAATCCCATCGGCTTTTTGTTGAGGGAACCAGTGCGATGCTCCAACACATTCTCACTCCCAACTCCTCAAATTGGTCCTGAGCGTCAAACTACAGCGCTCTACATAACCCTCTAGCGTCAGTTTTGGACGTGTTGGGACGGCGTGGCAAGTTTCCACTCATTGCATGCATAGTGTCTTTACTAAATAAACTTCCGTCTTCACAGAAAGTCGGTGTGAGACGCACTGACCAGGCATCGGCATTTAGCGAGCTGGAAGTTAGACCCGTTTGGATGCTAAATGACTGCCTCCAGAAATACTTCCCTGCAGCACTCTATTAAGGATGGACTGTCTCTGTACTGCTGAGAAATGCATGTTTGAAAACCCTTGTTAACTAAAGTGCAGACAAAATGATACCCACATTATCTTTATCTTTATCTCTCTCTCTCACACACTTACACACACACACACACACACACACACACACACACACCTGGTGATCCGTCCATAACATCATTAAGACTCCCTTCTCTGTTTCCCGTGTCTGTAATCTCTGAACAAATCACAAATCACAAATCACTTGCTCAGACCGGATTGTGGCCGCCAGCGAGCGGGCCGCTCCATAAATCTGCCCCTCCACACACTCTCGCTGGGAGAGAGACGAAGAATGGAAGAGAGAGGAGATGGGAAACGGGTGGCAGGTAAGAAGAATGAGACTTTAGGAGGAAATTGAGTTGATCAAGCATTTCTTTGCCACAGACGTGCACAGCTTGCAAGGTATGGGATACAGATGCACGGCATCTCTCAGACACCACAGAGGATGAGGGACAGAATTACTGTGGCAGTGCTGAGGGGGAGGGGGAGGGGGGGGGGGGGGATAGAGTCAGTTATGCTGGTATTTGTATAGTAAGGCAGATTGAATCGCAACTTTTACTTTAATATCCATAAACTTATATGATACAGAACTGGTGGTTCTGGTGGTGATTGGTTTTCACCACACAAGTGCAAACTGTTTGAAATATAAAACGTAAGAGGCACTAAAAGAAAAAGTCTTTTGAGAAATTGAGCGGTTAAAATAAAAATGTGGCAGATAAAAGAAGAAAAGAGCAGCTCTGTGAGGCTGATGTCATTTGAGCTAAATGCTAATCCCAGTATGCAAACATGCAAACAGTGACAATGTTAACTTAACATGCTGATGTTGTAGCAGCAGGTAAGGTTTAACTCCTCCACCTTTTTAGTCTAGGATATTAGCATGCTACCTGTAGCTAATTGCTTTGTATAGCGCAAAACAAAGTGCAGCTGACATTGATGGGAATGTAATTAGGACAAACAAACACAAAAACAGCATATGAAATAATGCCAGCAGATATTTAATTTGATATGCTGATGGGATGTAAGAGGATTAATGACCATGTGGCTCTGTGAAAAACTGTACATGTCACCTCGGGTTATTATACGGTTTTAGTTCAATTCCTTTTAATTTAATCCTCATTTCCAGTTTTCACTTTTGTTTGATTCATGAGTAACGACTAAAGATGGTGTAAGGATTGGTTTGGTGTTTATTTTTGCTGTGAGATAAATGCTAACATGCTCACAAGGACACCGCTAACATGCTGACGTTGAGCTGGTATGTTCACCATAATGAGTATCCAATAGTTTTACATGCTACTATAGTGATTACAATCCATCCTGACAGGAAGATGAACATTTGCAACACATTTCATGTCAGTCCACCCAACAGTTATCAAGACATTTCACTCAAAATCACAAATGTCAACCCCATGATGGGGCTGTAGAGCATGTCAGAGGATCACTAAAGTCCTTAAGATTCATCATCTGGGAACCATGAATGTCTGTACTAAAATTCACAGCATTTCCTTTAAAAGTTAATATTTAAATCTTGATCAAAGTGGTGGACAGACCGATATTTCAATCCCTAAAACCACACTGCTAGCATTGCTAAAAATGTCAATATTCAAAATAATATATTACTTTATTGACTACTGAGGAGAAAATCGTATTCTTTGACACGCTTTATAGGGGCGGAGAGTGACCAGACAGCTGATGTATTACATTGCTGCAATACTTTCACCACCTCTGAGAAAAACAAATATATACATCAGCGAAGAGTGAAGGAAAGCACGAAACATAACAAGAGAATTTCAATACCTTCATCGTGTCACAGCTACCCTGCAGGTTCCTTATGTGCTTGGACATCCATGTGTGCCAAGCATTGTTTATATGACTGTGGCAACCGGGGACGATACCTGCTGAGGTATTGACGGAGAGCTAACAGCGGGGCGGCCCGACGGTGCTGAAGACAACAAATGAAGGATGAGACAGTCTGGCGGGTGGCAGGAATGGATGCACTGAGAGAAAACAGGAGGGGAAGGAAAGTGAGAAGGGAGTTTGTCCTGAACATAGAAGGTGGGGGAACTAAGGGAGGAGAGAGATTGTGAAAAAAATGGAGATTTAAGAGTTCAAAGGAGGGGATAGTGTGCTGCCGCAAATACAGGAAGCTGTATCACTTTTTCTCGAGTTTTTCAAAGGAGGCAACACACCAGAAAAAGAAAAGACAAGAAACAGAGTTTGATGACAGACAAAAAAATGAATCTGTCAGGGATGTCATGGTCTAGTGGCTCCACTGTGAAGTTCATCCTGTTCTTATCTTGGGTCTGTTTCTCTGTATGTCCATCTTCCTCCATTCACAGAACCAAATATACAAACTACGCTTTACATTTGAAGAACAGGACCTCAGCAAACAGTACATAATGTCCACACAGATGTATAAACACGGTACACCGTCTCTGGGTCCAGTAGAGCTTTCACTAAAACCTCTTCGTACTGAGTGTCCTCTCCAGGTCGAGTAATTGCTCCAGTAGTGAGTGGAGAAAGCTAAATATTTTTGTGTAGCTTAGATAAAACACTGTCTTTCCAGCTCATGTTATATATGTGCACATTTTGCTTTTGTTTGCTGCATCTCACTTTTTATTATTTGTATGATATTGCCAAATGACTCACTCTGAAATGATTGCCGTTATTCCAAACGACTCCTTGTTTCTCTCGGTGAGCTTTAGACGCGGGCGCGTTGCTCCACTTCCCTCCACAGTGTGTCCGTATGTGAGCTGATGAGATGTTAGATGTTCTGTGTAATAAGATATTCAGGGCTGGTGTTTTACAACATCGTTTGTTCAATGGCCCACAGCAGACAGTGTTCAGTGACGGATTGTGTTTTTGTCATTAGACGTGTTCATTTAGGCTGCTGCATAATTCAATTTAGTGCAAGTGCATGCAAGTTCACACACACACATTTACACATCTGTCAGAATGAATACAAGTGTGAAGCTCCAAAGGAATAAATTAGATGTTAAGTTAACTTGGGAATTAAGTGAGAAATACTCTATTACTGCTTTCCCTTGTGGGAGGGTGTAACTAGAAGAATTTGGGGAGAGCTAGATAATACAGCGTATCTGATGCTTTTCTGGTCATTCACTTAAAAAGACCTCAAATCAGCATCATCAAATCAAGCTTAACGACTTCCAATTATCATTTAATGATGTGGATGACCAACCCTCTCCAGCGGCTGCAAATCTGAATGAGATTTGTTTTTTTTCCCGCCTCCACTCGGACTGTGAATAAGACGAAGATGTGCACGATGTTGTCTCTGGTGATTTATTGTTACTATTACAGCAATTCATCATAATCATCGAGTAAATATCCATCATGTACCTCCAGATGTTGTGATTACATGTAGGACATTTCCCCCGGGGCGTCTTGATGGATTTGCGTTTCAGCGAGGAGGCCCGGGGTGTGACGTCTTCAGATCATCCTACCAAGAACAATAGTTATGAAATTCGATTTTGTCTATAGCGTCTAACTTCCGGAGAGTCATTTGTTTGGTGGTGCGTGAAAAAACATCTTGCATCAACCGCACCCAGGCAATGAAACCGTGTGTTTCTGTGCGTGTGTGTCTGTACAGAGTACTAATCATGAAAATGTCAGGAAACTGTTGCAACTGCTTCCTTTACAGGAAAGCAGAAGTATTGGTCCACTGAAGAGTACAAACGAAAGGTTTCAGTGTTTGTGCGTGGGTGTTGCTGCAGAGATAATGTAGTGTCTTTAACTGAGGGTGAATGGTCCAAGTGGAACCCAAACAAAAACATGAAAATAAAATGTAATAATAGAGAAGATTTACTATTTGATCCATGCTACTGGTAGTACAAAAAATGTTTTATCGGCTGTACAGTGGCAGCTAAAGGACATCTCAGTTTCGGATTGTCAGGCTCAGCTGTACAGACGGACTTGCCTGTTGCAAAGCAGCCATATCAACTACAGAGCTGGTGATGTCAGTGTTCCTGCCATCATAACTTGTCAACCTCGTTAGGTCGGTGGTTCCCAACCTTTTTGGCTTATGCCCCTGCAAAGTGAAATAGAAGTCTTCTCGTTTCAGCCCCTCATGGACTGTATATGCCAAACACACCATACAAAACAATAAGAGTGAGCCAACTAACAATCAGTGATGTAAAGTATCCTAAAACACACTTCATTCAAACTCAAAAACAAGCAGCGATGTATGCAGGCAATCGGCTCGAAGTTGTCGTAAAAGACATGTAGCAGCGGCTGAGTTGCGGCGAGGTTCAGCTATGTGTGTATGTTAGTTCTGTTAGTTGTTAGCAGATAGGCCAACACTGTGTGCGCAAAGTAGCAGATGGGGGGTCGGAGATGCACTCAGCTGTGTTATTACATGCGGCCCCTACTGGCCGGGGACTGTTAAGAGTGCGGAGTCAGCAGGCGGTCAATGACAGTATAAAACAGCAACCGCCGGAGGTCCTTAAGCATGCAGCCCAAATATTATGCAGTTTGCTGCTGCAGAATGCGAGATTAGCAGTGGATAGACACAGAGGTGGACACTAACTCACTCACGGACACACACACCTGGACGCATGCACACTGTCACACACATTTATTGGCACTACATAACAAGTCAGGGTTACATCAATGTTCTTATGAATCATCCTCAATAATACCAATAATATCCGGACCAAAGTTCATGTCAATCCGTCAGCGGTTATCATGTCACTCTGGACCTAAGGGTTGGACGGACTGGCCGGTCAACGGAAGACGCTGGTTGAGTGGCTGAAAAGGACTAAATCAAGTAAAAAAGGCACGTGGTAGTTCGTCCTTCCCACTTTCCCCAAATAGGTAGGTCAGCTGGGTGGTGCATTCAGAGATTTGGGAATACAAAATGCAAATGTTTCTAGGCCACACAGATGCACACACACACTCACGCACACACAAACAGCTGGTGAGAGGCTTACACTCCAGTGGCATATGACAGCTTTCCCATTAAAACCATTCCCCTCAGCTGTTGTGGGACAGGAACACGCCTCCCAGAATCACACAACCTGAAAACCCTGAACAAATATACTCATTTGAAATGTTCTGGTTTTGCTTTGCTTTCCTCTGCAACTGTCCTCTAATACATTTATGACGACAATTGTGACACAAACAACCCTGCGCTTTGTGCTAATTCTTAGAGGTCTGCGCCCTTGATGAATCGAGCCATTAAGGGAAGCCTTGAGGCCTACGGAGGTTATCTTGACATGTTCCACTGCAACCTTGGTAGAATCAGCTGTTACTGGCAAACACACATAAAGAGCTTTAAAGCGAGAAAGAGAGGTGAGATGCAGAGGTGCTAAAGAACTAAAACTTCCTGCGACAAACTCAGGTTGTAAGTCAACTAAACCTTAAATTGTACTGTTGAGAAAGGACTCCGATACTTGAGTTGAGAGGACTCAACACAGCACCCACCCTGTTCCACTCTGTTCCAGATGTACCGCATGTAAAATGACAGGAGGAGGCCGTCAGCAATTTGCTCTCTGTCTCTGCACCACCGCTCACAGCTCTACAGAGAGACCAGCCTTTCCAATTCATCATTTTGACACTCAGTGTTGACTCGCTAAACAAAGAAGTTACGGTTCACACAGCCTATCAATAGCTGTCCTCTCTCCCTTTTCCTGTAAGTGTACATCAATAAGTTTACGTCCACAAGAACTCCTAAAAACAAGCGCGATGACGACAAAGTAGAGACAAAACAGAGGGAGGGAGGATGAAGCTGAGTTAAATCAAGATGTAGAGAAATGGACTCGAGGCAACTGCGACAGCTTTTATACACCCTCTCCACACTTTTATGTACACACATATCTGAGAGCTGAAACCAGCCGTAATTCAAGCACCCAACCCTTTCACTAAATCAGGTCCTATAATTCTTCTTTCTCCTTTCTTAGTTTTGTCTTGTTCTCTCTTTTCAGGGCTGCATGCATAAATCAATTACATCCAACCACTACACACACCCTGCATGCTGTACATGCAAACACATATATCAGCGTGTGTGATTCATATTTAAATTGTTTGAGCGGCACATTTCTTACTGTGAAACTGATCACCTGACATCAGATAGAAACAGCAGTAATGAGATGGTGCCTGTAAAGTGATCCGCCTGCACTGCTTTCCACATGACGGAGAGTTCCGGTGCTGCTCCTGTGGCGACGGCTGTACCGCTACACACAGCAGGCAAAGCCACAGTGTACTTTGGCTTCATGTCCTACAGTTGCTTTAGATCTATGCTATATGCTGTAGATCTATAATGTCCAGCAGTTTGAATCCATAACACACACTTGGAAGCTAACAAGGAATTACACTGAGCCAAAGCAGCTGAATCACAGCTGACAAGAGCTCAGCGTGACAAACAGTAAACAGGGAGGTGGAAGAGCCTGAATTCTAATCTGATATTATTTTTCATTATCCATGGAAAGGCGAAGTCTGTCGGTCTGTCCACCACTTTGGTCCAGATGGAAATATCTCGACAATTAGATGGATTGGCATAAAATGTGGTACCACATTCATAATTACAAAACATTAGCATGTTTGCAGAACTATAGAATTGTCAACATGGTAAACATGTGACTAGAGATGCAAACATGCTGATGTTTACCGCTAGCATGCTTGAAGACACTTAGTCCTCTTTGTTTTTTAAATGAACATTGTTTTTTTTTTAGTTCTGTACTCTGCTATTAAGGTGCAAAGTACAAAGAGTCAGCCAAAAACACTGAATACCAAACTGAAGTGAACATGGAATTAAAGGAGCAGTGTGTAGAATATAGTGGCATCTAGTGGTGATGTTGCAGATTGCATCCAACTTAATACACTCAAACTGACTCCTCCCTTTCCAAGCTTGTCTGAGAACTACGGTGGCCTTCAGGTAACGTAAAAACGCAAAAGGCTTTCTACTTCTTCTACTACTACTACTGGTGTAGAAACATGACAGTACAGTGTACTCCGTGAAGAGAACACACTCTACGTAGATAAAACGGCCTAATCTAAGTTAACGAAAACAACGATTCTTCAGGTGATTATAAACTAATGAAAACATAGTTCTGAATATTATATTCCTCCTAACTCCAACACACTGTTCCTTTAAGGGGAATGGAACAAAAACCACAGTATAGTGACACTAAATGACACTGAAACTCACTTGCACACATATATGCCACGTGGTCCTTAATCCTCTTAACATCCCGTCAGCATATTAAATGAAATATCCGTTATTTCAGATGCTGTTTCGTGTGTGACATCAATGCAGGATCAGTGGCTGGAGGGAATGAGCATCAATTCATCCCTTTACTCTAGGAGAAAGCACAATACGGGTACTGTGTGTGTGCGTGTGTGTGTGTGCATCTGTGTGTTCCATGCAAAGACAAAGAGAAACATGTTCGCACACGGAACCTCATGACACGTGAAGTCTCTTGTTGGACAGCGCGTACTGAACGAATCACAACGTCTGTTTATTGATGATATGCTTGACTGCTTTTCCACTGTGCACAATCCATGTTTAAAACACTCACTGCTGCTCACTTACAGTACGACAAGAAGGAACTCTGGGGCATAAAAAGAGGGACAGGGGCATAAATTTCAGAGCACGGTACATAAATATGAGTGAGTTTACATGCACAATAAGATCCAATGACCAGTTATTTTTTGCTACTTCTGCTTGAAGGCTGGTGGCTGATAGGAGCCGGGTACGGGGGGGCGGGGGGAAGGCAGAATTAACAGTTTTACAGTACAGTACTTGGTTTCCATCACATCACCAACATGAGAGAAGCAGGCAGACGGTTGCTATCCTAAGAAAGAGAGAGAAGTATATGGAAATGATTTATTAAGCATGTGTACAAGTGGAGATATTGAGGGACTGAACCTGCAGCACAGGGTCAGAAATTGAGGCCACTTGATCCCATTCTGTCTGTGTACTCTCACCTGGATGAGTCGCAATCATGACAGAGTGGAAATGTGGGGTATCAGACTCAGATTAGAGGTCTCAAGGGGTCCAAAGACGATGACGGGAGGGAATTATTACCTTTATAGATGAGAGAAGTATGAAGAGAGGTAAGATGGGAGCTGACAGTGGGAGCATCAAGTGGCCAGCCACAAGGGTACACATCTCTTTGTCTTTTTAATTTAAAACTTTTTTTTTCTTTCCTTACATTGCACTATAGTATACATACTGTACAATACCCACTGAACTGCCACTGTGTCCCCAGCAGGAGGGAAGAGAACGGAGAGGTGGCGCAGGTTTCTTACACTAACATTCAATACTTAATAAACACGGGAGGGGACTCGCACCCAAACACACACGCACACACACACACACACACACACACACACACACACACACATACATACGTACTTACACACTCACGCACGCACGCACACACATGCACACGTACTTACTTTCACGCAAATGGAAAGACAGACAAATAAGATTTAATGCTTCACAACACAGTCGCATAATGTACAAGAAACTTCATCTTTTTGAAAAAAAAAAAAAAAACAGCAACCTTCTTCAGCTATATTACAAATAAAACATTTAGTCCTCTCCGGCATTTAAAAACACTAAAATATCCCAACCACACATACATAGAGTGGAGGCGTGATAGCATAGTCCGTTGTTTCTTGTCTGTGTGTTCGAGGGAGACGGGGAGATAAAGAGAGAAGACGGAGCTGTGTGGTCACGACGAGAAGATTGAAGTGGCATAGGAAGGATGGAGTGGTCCTCTCAAAAGTGGAGAAAAAAAAGAATAAAAACAAAACAAAAAGTGCCAAGGTAAAGTGAATTCAAGTAATTGTGTGCTCTATAAACACGGGAGAAGGAGGGAGGGGGTGGGGGGTGAGTCCTGTGGCTCCAACATGGCCACTACTGGCTCTTCCTGTGTTCAGTCAGGCTCGTCGACGCGTCCGCGGGCGTCTCACCGCGGCCAGCTTTGGAGAGGACGTCCACCCACTTGGCCTGAAGTTCTGCATCCGGGGCACTTAGGAGCAAAGTCTGCTGGGCGTGACTGAGGCGTAACGCGTGCTTCATCTCAGACTTCTCGCCTCCCGACGGCACGGCGCTCACTTCGAACCCGGGGAGAGGCACCGCCCTCGCGCTCTTGAAGTCCTACAGAAATGAGTGAAATGAGTTGATCAGGAGAAATTCTTTTAAAATTGGATTTCTCTTGAATGCAGCGAGTGACAGCATGTCTCTACGGAGAATATATTACACCAGGCATGTATAATAAACCCTGCCCTCCTCTCTCCCTTCCCCCGCTTTCTTTCTGCATAATCAGGAAATGCTCGTCCAACTCCCATTAATCCTAATCTTTGGAATGGCAGCTTTCTGCGGTGGGATTGGGATATTAGTCTTGGAAATGAACCCGGGAGAGGCTTTAGCAGGCTGACTTCCCTTCTGTTCCATCCGCTGTGAATGACAGAGCATCACAGTCTTTAGCAAAAAGCCTTCCAAATATGATTGCTTTGGGAATCTTTTCATTTTGAGCAATCATGTAAACCACTCGTGAAATGCATCTCCTTGGCGTGTCCTGGGCAGATTTACAGCTAAATGCACAGCCAAGATTTCAAGGAACCACTTTAAACGTCCAATGAGTTGCTTCGTCTGCTCGGTGCAAAACTAAAACCTCACCCCACAGAGGAGCAGCGTCGCAGACAGCGGCAGCTACACCTGAGGTCAGATTCAGGACAACCAAATCCCCCTGGCCCAAATCTACAGAGCGCAGACGACCCGGCGCAGGCAGGTTCGGATAGATCTGACTTACACATGCACACTGATGTTCCCATGCAGGCGCTGCACTGTACGGATGTTTGGCTTTGAAAGGAGGAAGCGTTAGCAAGGGACACTACAGATGACTGAACTGTTTACCTGAACATGTGGAGGAACTTGTGTGCAAATATTTATTGTCTTTTATTCCTACAATGCTGACCTCATGTAATATAATCTATGTATTGTAAATGATGACAATTGTTAATAAAATGAATAAAGGGTAAGTACTGAAAATATATAATCTCTAAATCTGATAAAGAGGCGGAATATTTTGTAATTAACAGCTAGATCGTCATCCTGTCTGCAGATGTGTGAGTGTGAGTGTGTGTGTGTGTGTGTGTGTGTGTTGAACTCTTACCTGTCCGCTGCTCTGCAAGTACAGCACCAGCGGCTCAGCCTTGGTGACAGCCACCCACATCTTGGACCAGCTCTTCCCTTTCTCCTGCACTTGAAGGTGGCCACACAGCAGGCAGCTCTCCCCCGTTAGAGACGTCTGTCTCTAGAAAAGATAATAGAGAAGCATACATGTAAAGAAAGCATGCTACAAATACTGTTTATTAATATTGATTTGAATGAGCTTGAAATTTAAATCAATCCGAATCGTATTTTGGGGATTTGAACTTGAACTGACAGCTCAGGTCTTCTGCTGTTCACCGTTACGAAACAACAATATAGGACACAGTGAGATTTGTACATGACAGGTGTCGTCCCGCTTGTCTAATCCCTGCACGCCATACAGCTCCCCCATGTGGTGACTAATCTCACTGCAGATGAGCTTCTTTGTAGGGGAGGCGGGTCTCATCACTGAAACAACAACCTAAATAAACCAGAATCCTAAGAAGACTTTCATCAATATAGTAAGGTTGTCAGCTTTTCAGCGTGACCACTGTTCACCCATCGTCAGCGTCCCAGACCGACAGGCACAGGCACCTGAAGCTGCTGGCCTGTGGAGTCAGCAGAGACGACCGGTCCTCCATCAGCTGAGATCTCATTATGATATTAGTCATCAAAGAGGGATTAGTTGATCTTTCAATGTGAATGTGTGTTGTACTGTAAGTGTATATGTGTGTGTACAATGATTTCAGTGCACACAGTGACTTAAGTATTCAACGGAGATGGTGCACAGCACTTCATGAGCAAACTTCTGTGCTTCTTTTTGTCGCCAGCAGCACAGTCTGGCTGGTGAACCCTGGTTGACTTTGACTGTTGCTGTACTGGGAGACACGGCTCCGACTGGACTGGCATGAATCGAGGCAGAAAAACAATAAACTGCGATGCACATGCTGCTAAATGTGTGTTCTTGTTTGTTTTTGTTTTTGTTTTTTTTGTCTCACCTCAGGCGCAGCTTTCCTTTTCTGTTCGCCAACGCCGAGAGTCTCCAGGCTGACGCTGGCTTCGAAACACTCGGGGCACACGCGGCTCGTTTTGTTGTCCAAGGTCTTTGAACACTTTGCACAGATGGCCTGCAGAACGACAGAGAGAGAGAGGGAGAGGGAGAGAGAGAGAGGGGGAGAGCATTGAGAAGCGGCTCGCTTGTTAACAGTTACTTCTCCACCCTTTCGTTTCTACATCCCGCCCAAACAATGCCCGAATGTCTTTTCTCACCGCTCCACAGGACTTGCAGTGGTGTTTGCGCTTGGTGAAATTGAAGCTCTCGTTGCAGCCTTTACACGTTTGCTTCTCTTTCTCCTTTTTCCTTGAACTCTTCTGGAAAATATGAACACAAAAAAAAAAGAATCACGTGTCAAGGTTTTCAGTCTGTTCAGTTTCTGCACAACTGGAGGAACGTCTGACGGCTCGTATCGTTCGTTCTGTTTGTCTGGTCTCCTGTCTTCCATTTCTCTTTTCTATTAAACAAGACAAAGACAGACTACCCGTCTCTTAAAGACAACAAGGTGGAGGTCAGACGGAGGTGTCCACCGGCTGTTAATGGTTATTATAAATGCACTGAGGGAGAGAGAGGAAAAAAAGGGCCATTTATCAGCCAAGTAGTCTGTTTTATTAAGAGTGCGGTGACCCCAAGAAAGGACAGAGGCACTGTTGCAGTTTAAGAACTTTCTGTTTTAGCCTGTAGACAAATAGTTAAGGTGTTTTCACTTAATGAGCCGGATTAGGACTCTTCACAAGGTGCCAGCACTCCTCCATTATTATAAATCCTTTATAATGCGTTTCTCTTGTAGTATAGTATCTTACCCTTTCATGCAGTCTTTCCCCGTCTGAGTCGATGGATGTGTTGCACCAGGGACCCTGAGGAGAAGTAAACAAAAACAACATATGAGCACCAGCAGCTCCTGCCTGAAGTCAGAGATCTCCACCACTAGGTGTCAGCCTGGACCTTCTGAATCAAGTCCTCTGGCTCATGTCAAGTTACGTTTGGCCAGCGTCCAGCTTCAGTCGGCCCAAAGTGGATCAAAGCAGATCCATAGGAGTTCTGTATACACTTTGACTCGGGCCTTCCCTATTAGGTCATGAGAGAGTTCTGGAAGAGGAGACTCACAGACACTACGTGTGCAACTGTCACGGATAGAAAGAAAGAGCTTCTTTATGGGTGTGTTTTGTGCGTATGATCCGACCACAGCCGTAGATGGGAGAGCTGTTCAGGCAAACACAAAGACCAGACTATGACCAACTAGTTCTGTGTACCGTGAGTCAGTGCACAGGATGACCCACTAAGTGACTGATCAATGAACCGATTGATTACGGGAGAGGGAGACTGACCGGTGACTCTGGGGGGTGGTCATCTTCCCGGGAGAAGGAGCTGTTGAACGCTTTATTGAACGTTTCGCTGTTTTGTTTGTGCCGTTCGATGGTGGCCAGGATCACCTGAGGGGAGGGAGGGAGGGAAAGGGATTATTGATTATTGATCGGACACATTGGCATTTGAATGCGTATATTCTCCTGCGTACTTGTCATGAGAGTAAATATACGTGTGCAGAGTTGCAGCATGATATGAAAGTGTCTGATGTTTTATTTCCTACAGAGGCTGTCACTTAGTCTGCGAAGTGAAAAGGAGAAGATGAAGGGTGTGATAGAAAGCCAACTTTCCTTTCACTGCCTGATTGGGGAGCAAAGACAGCGTGCTGTACGGACAGACCGTGCACCAAAAGCATCGTGTTCCTACAGCCTCACAGCCAGAATCCAGAGACGTGCCCCGCTCGTAGCGTGCAAATACCTCTTTCGTCTCTTTCCAAAACCTTTCAAGTGTACATTCTAGTGTCCATTGCTTTTCAGAATGCTCAGTCTATTCACTGTATCCCGTCTCTCATGCTTACACAGAGACTAAAGACAAACCTCTGCTGTAATACTCCCCCACCTCTCTCTCCCAGCCTGTAAAAACATTTTAATCAGCTTTACTCCTGCTGTATAATGTGCTAAATTAGCAATAATGAGCGGCTTTTAATAGAGAATATAATTTCCAAACACACTGAATGAGTGTGGGGAGGAACATCTTTGCTAATTCCATTCTGTAATAAAGCAGAACTACCAAAGGCACAGCATGTGTGCAGGAGAGACGGGGAGTGTGTGTGTGCATAATGTGCGTGGGCGTACGACTGTATCGACGCCACCATGTGTGTGTGATACTTGCCTGAATCCAATCTTCTTTCTCCTCCGCCGTCCTGCAGAGCAAATAAAGGATCATGAGATGAATTTATTCCAACAAAAAATACAGACGATGAAATACCTCAGCCTGTTCAAATATTCACCTCAAACAGTGCAAGACATTATGGAATGAATGAATACATATTCATAATTCTTATGAGCTTTGTGTTCGTTTATTTGACAGTCTATGACACTCTAGCCAACAGGAGCTAGCTAGTTAGCTCGCTTGCTGGCTTGTAGTTGGTTGGTGGCCCTGAATTTGATCGAACTTTATTTATTTATATGATTTTAACATAATACATTATTTATTATTATTATTATTTAACACTTGGGGGCTTCCATACAATCAAACTGCATTTTATATAGAAACAGCACATTTTCAAAGGCCACTTGAGAGTCTGTAGTTTTCCTCTGCTGGTACAAATGTCTTTACCTCGCTTGCAGCTCCAGCGACCGCTGCTTGCCGATGATGGCGAACGTGTGAGGAAGGTTCTGCTTCACGTTCTCCTGGACCTGAGGTCCAGAAACAGAGGAGATCAGATTTGCAGCGAGCAGAATACATAAAAGGCTAGAGGAGACAACAAAAGATGTCCAACAGAAGGAGAAAGCAGGACTTCACCTCCATTCCAGCGATGTCGATCCTCTCTCTGACACTGAACTTCTGTCCCATCAGCCTGAGTTTAGGCACGCAGTATAGCACCATATTGTTGAACTAGAGCAGAGACAGATGATGCAGTTAATGAGCAGTGCAGATAACAAAGGCGCCCACAAACAAAGACCCTCCAGCAGTCTGATATTTCTCTAATGTAACACGTCAGTCCTCTCACCAAGTAGAGGTATCGGTCTTGTGCTGTTCCATTTTTGGCTGACATCTTCTTGATATGACCTTCTTTGATGAGCTCATTGGCCGGGTTAACTATCTCCTCCTCTCCTCCGAGCCTCTCGTAAACCTCCAGCAGCTTGTGCATCTTCTCCTGAAAACACGAGGCGACAAGAGGATGAGGAGAGCAGAAGCAGGAAAGACACAAAGACTCTTGAGAGTGAGAAGACACATGGAGCTATGAGCCAAACTCCTCCAGAAAGGGCTTTATTTTTCTTATTAGGTAAGACTCTCTCTTATTCATTCATGGGTTTTCCAGCAAGGCAGGAAAGCAGGTATTATACTTCATCATTAATTCAACACACTTGTCTGCTCGAGTTGTTTTTTTAAGGATGTCATAAATACGAGTAACATGGCCAAACGGAGGAAAGAGATGAAGAGTGTTAAAAAGTCGGCCAGGCTTCCGCAAGCTGTGCAACTCGAGGCAGGAAATGGCAACTTCCTGTCTGCACTAACTCAACTTGTTCACTCCCTCAGACGAACGCTTGCAAGGTTGTTGACCGACAGTACAGCATCAGCAACTCTTCGATTGAGTAACACGTTGGCTGGTTTTTACGAAGCTCAACGAGACGGCGGAAGAGTGTTGAAAGGAGTTCAGAGAGAGGCGACAACGAGAAGAAGAAAGAAACAGAGAAGTGTAGTGTTGAGTTAAAGTCTTACCATTTTCCTGATTGCTGCATTGGAATGGCTAGCCGCTGTAGAGATTAGCTCCAGTGCCTCTGTAACAAGCATTCACATACATGTTAGCATAAAATCCGGAATAATTGAGATCATATTTGAACTGAAACAAACCGCAGATATAAATCAATCTCTCTCTTTTACACACACAAGTACTATGTGTGTTACTCAGTGAAAAATAAAGAGGTCACTCTAGCTTTATTTTATAAGTTGAACAGGATCAAAGGCTTAACATGCACCGTCTTCACATAAAACACACCGCATGCATTAGGCTGGCTTTCGGCCAGCAGTGAGCCCTGTGAGCACCTGAGTCAGCCGTCTTAATCATGGCCTACATAAACACAAGAGACACACAGCCGCGGGAAACCAGGTCCAAAAGAACTGTGATGAACTGCTTTTCAACTGGAGTGGATGAGAGAAAACCCCTCCACACTCTCCAAACAGCACAGTGCGGTGAGGCTAATGCTCAGGTAAATGGAAACACGGACGTTTGAGGACGTCGGATCATGGAAGATGGAATTTTGGGGCTTTAAGAGCGACGCGTTGACCTGATGTGAAGTGTGTAATCTGTCTCGACCGGGCAGTAGAAGAAACTACACACAGAGCATCGTACTGACATCTGTGTAACGACAAGCACTGGAGCTGCTGAATGTCCCGCCGTCATCCCCATGATAGATGGACGGGTCAAACACTCAGGACTTTCACCCAGGAGACGACTGTTAAAGTACCGTGTGAAACCAAGTCAGCTTTGACATCTTTTACCTTACTTTTGTTGCATAACTTACGTACTTGGGACTAAGAAAACTGACACGTTGTTCCTGAATCCCAAACATGCTGCTACCTTCAATTCTGAAAAGGGAAGCCAAGTGCGTTGAACGTGCACTTTGTCAAATGGCCATCAGGGGGCGACTCCTCTAGTTGTAATAAGAAGTCTGACTGTACTGATAATACGTATATACTTTAACATATGTATTACCGGAAATACTAGTGTTTTTGGTTTTACCTCCAGTAGGTATGGAACTGTTTTTCTTTTTAGGAGTGAGTTTTTTGAAGCTTAGGGTGACAGACTAGGCTGCTGTATTTGATGTGTTGGGAAATAAGATTGTGTTTTGTAAAAAATGTGACGATATGCATCACAGAGGAATCATGAAAACAATGAATCATAGCCTCATGTAGGCTAAATCTCTTCAACTAGCTCTTCAACAAGGTGAACGTGGAGCAGCATGAAGCCACGGACGGTTAGCGCTCTCAAGCAGCAAGGTGAAGTGAACTTTTGGCTCCTTGTACGATGACATTCATGCCACATGTGCACATCAGTGAGCAGAAACACTTACAGGTGAAAGTATAAATTAGATTAGCTCAGGTGAAGCAGAGGTAAAAACAGCTCGACAGGAAGAAAGAAAACTGTAAGTGCATGTCGTGACTGAGCAGCGCGGGCGTCAAATTGTCTCACTCTCGGCGTCTTTTCGGTCCAGAGCGTCCTCGGGGAGCTTCTTCAGGTAGTCTCTGAGCAACAGCTCGTAGCGAGGAATCCTTTGGACCGGCTCCAGCATGTGGTGCTGCAACGTCAGGTTCCCACACACATCCTGTTTCTGTTGGTTCAAGCACAAAGCAAAGATTTGAACTGATAAACCGTGGGACAAAACAACAACAACTGTTTTGTGGTGCTATGAGAGGGCATACATCCTCTTCAGTCATCTAAATGTGTTCACTGAGAAATAAAAAATGAAACCTGCTTCTAAAACCAGTTAAGTATCAGAGTATTCTCGTAGTGAAAACCATTAGATACATGCATGAGCAGATGGAAACACGGTAGAAAATACTTTGAAATATATACTGCTAATTAATGAGCAAGGTGTCCGATCAGGAGACAAACACAGACGCCTACCTGTATGTTCTGGACGACGCTCTTGAACTGAGAAGACCGCTGTGTCCAGGTGTTGACCAGGTCCATGGCTCGGTCAAAGTTCTTCACATATTCTCCGTACATCTTCATGAACGGAGCCAGTTTCTGGAGGATGTCTCCAATACGAGGGTTGGAGTCCCTACAGCGAACACACGGATTGATGAGTGGGTGAATTCAACGTTCTGTATCTTAGAGAAGGTGCAGCTTTCTTCCAAAACTTCACAATTTGTATTTTCTTATTTAATACAATGGGTCTACTGGACGCAGGGCAGCAACAATCTTGATTGGGCATTGCAGCGTATGACTGTCATGTGAAACTGAGCGTGGAAAAACACGAGTATAGATGAGACTGTTAGTTTTCTTTTATCGATATCATGCAGTATTTTGTTCTGCTGGTAGCTTTCATTTGTAAACTATTTCATTTTATTTAGAGTAATTAGTATATTTTTATCCACAAGTATTTTCATTAAAAGCACAACATTTAGAAGGGAAGTTCAGCTTGTTTTTTATATTCATATCATATTTAGTTTTCATCACATGTAGCTGGCATTTTTGAAAGTTCAATTACATCTTGGAGGCCTTTCCTGACAGCTGACTCGGTGTTTCTCACTGCATTAAGTCACTTTATGTTGTCAGTTTTATAGCTGAGGAGATAAACCTCAGTGAAGTGAGGTTAATGGTTGGCTTGATTGGCTCTGATTCATTCACATCTTTCCTCTCGACACAATTCATAAACACAGATTAACATTTTGACACCAATAAAAGTCATATCACCATAGAGATAAGACAGGAAGCAGTGACGTCATTTTTCAGAAGTAAGAAACAAATGAATACAGATGAATGCAGACTTATCTCAAGCACATAATTGGGGAATTCCAACAACTTAATCCTTCTTATGAGCTTTCTCCCTGAGGTTCACTGTTCTGAGTAGCCGCGTGGTTGCTTGTACCCGTTTTTAAGCCTTTCTATCCGAGCCAACACACTTTAACGAGTTCCAGAAAGTAATGTGGGGAAACATAATGCGACAGGTGATTTCCCTAAACGCAGCCCTCTAGAGGAGTCATGATCTGGGTGGCTGATGTTGGCACAATAACACACATTGGGGGTCAATTTCCTGCCGACACAAAATAGGTTAAAACTGCAACTCTGGACTCAAAAACCCTTCGCAACCCGACACCACTGAAGATGGGACGATAATGGCCTCCACTGCCGCCCAGCTGTCTGGCTTTTACAGCCGACACCGGCTGCCCGACTGACCACAAACACAGCTACAGCATCTCCAGAAGGACGTCACAGCGATGCTATTTGGGAAAGTTCCTGCCGCGTGTTTGATTCCTCACCATTCTCCCGTGATGCGTGTCTTGAGCTCAGGCAGCAGGAACTTGTCATGGAAGCAGTAGATGGAGGAGATGTTGGAGAAGATTCCTGTAATCACGTCCTGAGGGATTCCAGTCTCTGTGAGCTTAGTGCAAAATACCTGCAGAGAAAAACAACAACATATGTTTACAAACGCTCATGCTACTGTTTCCAAAAAAACTCCAAATCTGGCTCCTCTTCATAAAGCGGGCATGCAAACATAGACAGAGAAGTTTCCAAGTTCATGTCAGATGGGATAAGTTGCTTCACCCATCACCTCCCGCTTCCCTGTCACTCACAGCAAAAGGGTTGACGCCATTGTTTCCATAGAAACCACTGTCGTGCGAAAGTACTTTGACAAAAACAGGAAGTGAACCGTGAGGCTTCTCTGCTCTCAGTAGTAAATATTCCACAAGCGTTCTGTGATAGGGCAGCAGTGCATCTCTGCACCACACGAACCGAGCAAAGAGGAAGAGGACTCAACCGCCGCCAGTTCATTCTCATCACAAACACGAGTGAGAACTATTAGAGGCTGAAATATATGTACAATAACCTGTTTACATAAAAAGAGAGACGATCAAAGAGAGCGTTTTGGTGATCAAGTGATCGGTTAAAGGAACAGTGTGCAGCATTCAGTGGGATCTATTGGCAGAAATGGAGTGTAATATTAATAAGCATGTTTTCTTTAGTGTATAATCACCCGAAAATAAGAATAACCGTTACCTTAGAATGAGTTTATATCTACACACGTAGCTGGCTGCCATATTTACTACAGTAGCCCAGAACGGACAAACCAAACATTGGCGTTTTAACATTTTTGCGTCGTCCACCGTAGTTCTCCGACACACACGGCTCATGCTCGTGTCAGTTGGTTGCAATCTGCAACCTCACCGCTAGATGTCGCCAAATTCTCCACACACTGCACCTTTAAATCATTTTCAAGCAAAACCTTTACTTGTACATTCCGAATACTAAAATGTAAATATTTACTGCTCCGCTTCATTGGCAATGATAGTAAATTGAGTATATTTGGATTTAATTTAATCCAACAAGGAATTTGATTATGTCAAATTATGCTTTGGGAAGTTGTTATCGGTATTATTGACTATTTTCTGATATTCTATTCACCAAATGACTAATTGATTATTTGCGATAATAATCTTGTAAATCAGAGCCTTGAGAGAAGTTTAGCTCAGCGCTGAACTTCACCAACGGTGTAAAGTTGAGCTTAATTGTCTGGAAATGTTTACATCCTTTATCAATATAGATTATTACAAAAGAGTAAACTTGAAAGCACCAGATGGAGTGCTGCTTAAAACCCTCCTATCATGTCTGTGCACTGTTTATGGTGTTAATGGTGTTATTACTATTTATATGATGTGTGGTGCAGAATTCTCCATCAATGACTCCAACTAAACAGCTGCATTTGGGCAGCATCATCGAGCCCCAACAGTTTTTTAAAGAGGTTTCTAATCATAAACCGAGTTAAGAGTCAGGAAATATCTTTAATCCACAGGATTACAAGTGGTGAAAGAGGGCAGTGTGAGGGCAACACACACACACACACACACACACACACACACACACACACACACACA